AAAACATTTTTTTAAGCTTTTACTATATTTACTATAAAATAAGTAAACATTTTATATATTTAAGATAGTAGTCTTTTTTTTAGAAAAAAAATATAGCCTGTACGTTATATTTAGATTAATAATTTGGTAAATTGAAATTACATTATAGGCTATATAAACGATGACAGATTTCCAATTTTTACATACGCAGAATGATCTGTTTGCTGCCCTAAATATACATTTCATGAACATTTATCAAAAGGGAAATAAATAAAAAAAACTGAAAACATAATTAGTCGCAAACTCATATTTGCGCGAGGAAACAACAAAAACGCTATCAAAATCTCTCAAATCATTACTGAGGAAGGCGCAGCCTTGAAAAGGATCAAAGCCGCTTTGATTGTCGAAAAAAAGAGAGAGGGATAGAGTTAAAGATTAAAATATCTCCAAATTTTATCAGACAACCAAAATAATTTTAATGTTTTCATTCCGCCTTTATCAATAGTTATCTGATATATTTCAATACTGTTAATGTTTCTTCCTCGATTTGATTTTACCGATTTGACTTTTAAAAAAAACGATTTGAAGAAGAAGTTTCACCTTGATAAAAGCTCATTAAAGACAGCAACCAGCTCTCAATTAGTGTATATTTCTATAACAATCGTTATTAAAACTGCGCATTATTAGCAACAACAATACATTAAATCATGGGACGAAAAGTCTTTAAAAAAAGTTTCAAAAGTTGGGTTAAAATTTTAAAGAAAACGAGTCAATTTAAATTTCAAATGCAGAAAAAGAAAATCGAAAAAATGCGTTTCATAGAATAAGCTTTTAAGAATTTTTTTTTTAATAAAACTTTAAAAAAGGGAGGGGGTTGTAAAAATAAAGATTTAAGCTGTTTGCGTTGCTAAACATATATCATCTCACATAAAAAAATTTAATTTTTTTTTTAATATTAAGCGTCTATTATCACTTCACAAATAATAATATTAATCAATCATATCAACTGTCTCCTCACGAAACAATAATAATAACAGTAATAATCAAATAAAAATAAATAAATAATTTAAGCTGTTTCTGATACGAAAAGTCTCCACTTCTTCCTTAATAATATTGCCATTTTAGTTTTAAGATAATGATTAAGTAAAACGATCTTTTTATTTAAAAATAATCAATAATTTTTGTTACTTAAATAATCCAATGTTTAAATTATCTTATAAATAACTTCTTGTTCGTATGACGAAAAACAACTTTTGCTAAAGAAATTAGAATCTAGTATTTCTACCGCAAAATCTAAATCGTTTCTATGGAGATGTAATTGAAGTTAGGGTGCCAATAATGTTAAGATGGAATAGGCAGGTGTTGTAGGAGGGTGTATGGTATTGACATATTGAAGATAGTGATGAAAACAGGGGATGATGAATATAACACTTGAACCGGATCATAATTAATAAAAAGCTTTTATTTAATATATTTGCAGAGATCGAGGTACCAAATATAAATATTATCCATAAGAATTTCAGTTGAATCAATTTTGCATAATAATATTAATAAGGACAGGCCATGGGAGACAAATCCCCTACGACCTGCCTTATCTAGTAACCATTAGGATGTGGAGTCTTCGTCCGGCTGGATTCGAACTCCTGTTCTCACAAACGCGAGTCCAGCGCCCTGCCAACCAGTCTATCCCGGTCCCACTTAACAGTTATGCTTAACTGTTACAAACTCACAACAGTTATAAAAAACAGCATACAATTTCTCAAAAGACATTATTTCATGTGTCTGAGAAAAATATTCTCCATTATAAAATTAGAAAAATCAACCCTATGAGCTCAAGTTAATTGAAATGAACTTTCTATTTAACTAATTGAAAGAAATCTTTTCTGGGAACTATAATAATATATTCCCGAAAGGACATCTACTGATGGTCAAATCACTTTTCACCCATATAAATATCTATCAGGGACGGCCGTATTTTTTTTTCTTCTCCCAGAATTCCTTTTGGATAGGGAGACAGCCGTAAAATATGATGAGGCCATTATATCCATACAGAAGTTTGCACTCATTCACTTTGTGAGAAGAATCATTTCTCCCCCTATTCATTCTCATTTCTGACCACTAGATGACACAATTCCTGAATCACGTCCTCTTCTCATAAAATGGATTGAGTCCTAGATTTTCATTTGCTGTCATAAAGTTATAGGGAAAGTTCTAAGAAGAGTATTTCAATATTTTTTATGTTTAAACACTTAGTTGTTTTTCTATTTTTGAAATATCCGATATAATAACATGTAAAAAACCGAAAGGGATTTTCAATTGTGGCACTTGAAAAGCATTACCGATAAACCACATTTTCAAATTCTGGATTAATAAGCTACATTTTCAAATTTTGGATTAATAAGCCACATTTTCAAATGTTGGATTAATGAGCCACATTTTCAAATTTTGGATTAATAAGCTACATTTTCAAATTTTGGATTAATAAGCCACGTTTTTAAATTTTGGCGTTTTGGATTAAAAACATCAATATACTCGTATAATGGGTATTTTATTTTATTTTATGACCTTCATCAAGCAGTCCACCCAATTTGTTTGGGTTTCGACTGCTAATGCTACTGCTCCTCAGCCTTGTAATTTTGAACCCAATCCAGAAGATAAGGAAACTCCTGGATCAAGTATTGGGAGAAATTTACCTCCCACGGCGGTGGAGCAGCGTCGCCTCCGTCACATAACCACAAACCCGCTTACAGGGCGGGTAACATTCACACAAAGGAGAAAGGACATAGAACACAGAGAGAGAAAGAAACATCCATGCCTTGAGCGGGATTCGAACCCGCAACCATCGGCTCCACAGTCAGGCATGCTAACCACTCGGCCACCTGGTCGGCTTAAAGAGTTATATAGTTTGATTGATTTTTCTTTAAGAATTCTTGTATGAGGACCCCAGTTAAGTCCCCTATCTATGATCACCCCAAGTATTTTATTGTATTTGATCTTTTTAAAGATTGGTTGAAGATTTTGAGAATGGGTCCTCTTGATGCAATTTTAAAATATACGAATGATGATTTGTCAATAGATAAATTTAGGTGTCTTGAGGTCAGCCAATTTTGAATTTCTTTAAGCGTCTGATTACTTTTGATTTCCAATTCCTTTCTGGAGTTTCCTCCTTGGAGGATTAGTAGATCATCTGCAAAGGCTATGAGGTTATTTGGAAAAGTTTTGATTTTTTAGAAGATCGCGAAATAGAATGTTTCATTGCAGAGGTCCTGAACAGGAGCCCTGGGGACAGCCTTTATGAATATTTTTTTTTTTTTTTTTGAACGAAGCCTTCAGGAGTTAAAAAAGATATGTTTTTGTTTTGATTAATGTTTGTTAGAAGTTTGCACAGGTTGACTGGTGTGTTAGAAATTGCTAGTTCGTGGTGGACAAGATTAAATTGTATATTATCAAAAGCACCAGCAATGTCAAGGGAAATTGCGAGTGTGTGTTTGAATAGTTGTTTAAGAGAGGTTAGAGTGTCATTAAAATGTTGTAATGCTGTATTGACTGATTTTCCTGTTTTGAATCCAAATTGATTAGGAGTTAAGAATTTGTTGTTTTCTAAGTGAAATGAGATTCGTTTCGTTATGATTCTCTCTAGGAGTTTTTCCAAACTTGGTAAGAGTGTTATTGGCCTATAAGATTTTGTATTTCTTGGATCTTTGCCAGGTTTAAGGAATATGAGTTGGCCAAATTTTAAAAAAGTCCGGAAAAATTGAAAAATTTAAACATGTGTTGAAGAAATCTGAAAAAAAATCATGGAAGTGGTGAATTAGATTTTTGATTATTATATTATCGATGCCGTCGATTCCTGGTGCTTTGTTATTATTGAGTTGAGCTGTTATGATGATGTGTTCTATTATTGAAAAAATGTGGAGTTTGTGCGATGATGTTGTTGTCTGGAAAGATGTTGTTTAAATAATTTAAGGCCTCTCGTTTATAATAATTTGTGTTTAGGTTTGTGTGGAAAGGGGCTGGACGATGGCTTTCTCTAAATGCGTGTTTATAGTGTGTATCGTATATGTTCTTTGTTTTTTTCACAGAGTTCCTCCATGAGTTGAATTTTTCTCTTTTAATCTGTTTTTTGAAAATTGCTCTTTCCCTTTTTAGTTTTGTTATGCATATAGATTTGATTTGTGTGTCAACTGATTTGCGTATTCTCATCCTAATTACCAGGTCACCTCATTCCCAATTGCCAGGTCATCTCATCCTAATTCTATTTAGGGAGGTTGAGAGGGAATCTAGGTGTTCGTTATAAAGTGTTTTGAGTTTCTTATGGTTTCCATATTTGGTTTTGAATCCTGTGTTGCTATTGATTGTGTAAGAGCTATTAACTTTGGCAGGATGACCACTCAAATCAGGTTTCAAATTTCCCTGATTTTTCCAGGTTTTCCAGGTAAAAATCCTAAAATTTCCAGGCCAATGTGCTTTTTTCCCCTCATAAAGTTAAGGATGAGTACACGATAAGTGTCAATATTATAAAGTATTTTATTTAAAATATTATTTTTTAATGTTATTTCATCATTTTTGACTCAGGAGATATAGTGCTAGCCAGGTCACCTTATGGGAATGAGGTGACCTGGAAAAGTTATCTATTCTTTAAGAAACCATGGGAGTTTAACAGGGTTATAATGAACCAAATTTTGATGAAAGCGAAGTATTGCTAAGTTGATGTCATTTCAACTGTTTAGAAATAAATTTTCGTCTAAAAGTGGGTATAACAGTTGGTAAAATAATTTTAATTAAGAAAATTAGTAAATAATTTAAATTAGTAAAAGTAAGAGAAATCAAAGAAACAATTCCAGCTTTTCTTTAAAAGATCCCTGATTTTTCTAGGTTTCTGTCCAAATTTCCCCGATTTTTCCAGGTTTTTTCCATTATAAAAAAATTCCCTGATAATTCCAGGTTTTTAAGGTGGGTAGCCACCCTGTTTGGTTAGGATATATTTATGATCCGAATTTGTCAAGTTTTTAAGGACTTGCCAGTCTAGGAAATTTTGGAGACTATTTGAGTTTGTTATTGTGAGGTCTGGCCAGCCTATTAGTGTTGTTGTTTCAAAAGTTGTTGGAGCACCATTTTTATTGATTATGAGTAAGTTGTTGGTCTTTAAAAAATCAAGTAGTGTTTCTCCTCTATCATTATTATTGTAGCCCCAAAGAGTGTGATGGGCATTTATATCTGTAAGAAAAATTAGATCAGAATTATTTGAACATTTGTTGAATAGTGATTAAAATTCTGTGTTATTAATATTATTTTGGGGAGAGCTATAGGAAGAATTTAATAGAAGTGGTCTTGAATTTGTTGAGTTTATTGAAATTGAGACTGAGTTTTGTGATTGGTTGATGAATAAGGGATTTAAAGTTCTGTTAATTAAGAAGATTCCTGATTTATTATTGATTGAGTTAAAGAGGATTGAGTTAAGAGGAGGAGGAGAGGAGGAAGTTAAAGAGGACCAGAGGAGGTTAAAGAGGAAGAGGTCAATTTGATGGATAACCTAGAATTTTATTTTTTGGACAATATGGCTCCTGGAAGCAGACGTCCACTTGGATTTCACTTACCGTTTTTTGTAACAGGTACATTTCATCTTTGCATCTCTGTAGGTTAATTTGAATTATTTTAATATTAGGGATATCACAAGTTTTCGAAAATTGTTTTGAAATGTTTAAGAAGTTTAAATCCTGTGAATCCATTGGAAGAAATTGCTTAAAAAAAAGTAATTTGGCTTAAATTTCCTTTCCTTTGAGTGACATAGATGTTGTAAGAAAATTGAATATAAATAAATAGACATTTTGATATTTTGATACAATTGAAAAGTAATTAATACAAAAAATAAATGGAGAAAACTGTAATTTAAATTTTTTGAATGGAGTGAGTTTTCTCAAATTGATAAGAAAAAACAGTATTCAAGCAAAAAAGAACTTGATTAAAAGGAAAAAGATAAACAGTAAACTATTACAATTTTAAAAAGAAACGTTATGTTTAAGAAGTTTGAATCCTGAGAATCCATTGGAAGAAATTGCTTAGAAAAAGAGTAATTTGACTTAAATTTTCTTTCCTAGATGATGTAAGAAAATTGAACATAAATTTAAAGACATTTTGAAACTATTGGAAAGAAAGAAAAAAAATTACAAAAAGTAAAGGAAAGAAAACTGTTATTTAGTTTCTGAAATTGAAAAGGGAAAAAAACAGTATTCAAGCGAAAAACAAATTGTTGAAAAAAGAAAAAGACTAAAAGTAAATTACTACTATTTTAAAAAAAAAAACGTTTTCGTTGAAAATTGTTAAAAACTAAAAGGTTAGGGAATTTACAAAAGAGCTTAAATGATATTAGCACTTCTCTGAAAAACAATCCCAATATGTCAAGTAATCTCAATCAATTATACAATCAAACGAATAAAAGCCTTATAACGATTAAACTGCAAGTTGCCAGGAACTCTCAGAAATTTATTTGTTTACCATCAACAATGGTTGAGTTGAGAATTGTTTAAAAACACTCTGAAATTGATTGTTTTTAAAAAAAAAACTTTAGAAGAAAACTGAAAACTAGTTTAAATGAACAATTTTGAAGTGATTTAAATGATTATTAAAACATCAAAATTACAAAGATTATATTGAAAAAGTTCGAGTATATTCTTAAATTAAAAAGTTCAAACTCTATTATCAATGATTAAGTTGAATATTGTTAAAAACTAAAGGTTTAAGGTATTGGGAATTTACTAAAGAACTTAAATGATTATTACACTTATGAAAAACAATCTTATTATGTTAAGCAAACACCAAACACAAACAATTAAATAATCAAACGAATAAATGCCTTTACAATGATTGAGTTGCTAGTTGCCAGGAACTCTCAGAAATCAGTTGTATAAAACACCATTAACAATGATTAAGTTGAGAATTGTTTAAAAACACTTGAAATTAATTGTTTGAAAAAAAACTATTGATATAAAAGGAGAAAAACTGGCAAAATGAATAATTTTGTTGGAAATCAAAATCAATGCATTAACGCTTGAGAGTATCGTCTTAAATGATTATAATTACTTGGTTTGGTTCTTTTCGGAAGGAGGCTTACTTACTTGGAGTTGAATACTAAAACGTTTGTGGTAATGGGAGCTTTACTATGGAGCTTGAATGGTTTTTGCACTCAGAAATGGGAGACAAAAATGGAGAGTTTGATGACCTTTGTTGTTTTCGGAATGGTCTTGAAAATTTTATGAGGATATTGTATATTTTGCTCAGAAGTTACTGAAATTGAAGTTGATCGTTCTTTAGGACATTTAGTTCATTTTTATATGAAGGGCAGTATTTATCAGTTGGTGGATGGTTGTGGCAGTATGTTGTTTCGAAGTGATGGTTGGCGTACCTACTATTTATGCAGGATGGATTACACTCTTGTTCCAATTTGGATTACATTCTTGTTGTCTTGCAAACTGTGTCCTTTTTGCATTGGTTTGTTGTATGGCCCAGTTCTTGGCAGTTATTGCATTTTTTTACTGTCAGTCTTTTTCGTATTGTTATTTTGTTGAGTCCTTGGTAGTAAATTTTTTTTTGAGAAGGAATATTGCCAATGGAATAGTTACAGTTATAATTAGATTGTCCTTCGTCTTGTGTGGTATTTCAAAATGGATGTCTATTTCGTCACTTTCTTCTCTGTATTCGCCTATGTATTCAAGTTTATTTATGGCGTCTTGTTTTGAGAAATGTGTGGGGACATTGAATAAGATCAGGTGTAGTATTCTTCTCTGCTTGTTTTGATGTTGGATTTTTTGATTTTCAAGTAATTTTGTAGTTTTCATTTTTTTTTTTACTATCCTTGAATTTCAACTCTATAATTTTGTCGTTCTGATAGACTTTTTTAATCCTTGGTCTTTCTTCCGAATGGTTCACTATATTTTTGATTCTTTCAGCTGTTGTCTCCTCATCCTTGCTTATTATGATTGGACTTGGATTCTTGTTGTGTTGTATTTCCGATTCTTTATTTTCTTTTGTTGATAATATTACTTATTTTATCTCTTTTAGTTCTTCTTTTATTGGGTCACGATGGTGGCATTTCCTTGTTGTATTTTCTGAGTTAAACAAATTTCTCACTTGATTTAGAAGATTGCTACTATCTCGTCTTAAAATATCGCTGAGTGAGTATCTACTCTTCGTTCTATAGCTGATGTTAGTGTATAATGCCGCTAATACGTCTTCCAGTTGGTTTCACCTTCCTTCATATGGGTTGTATATCTCTTCTGAGTGTGTGCTCATGTTTGCTTTTCGTGATTCTCTGTTTTGTTAGAGTATTATAGTATTGAGGTTTGTGGGATTTAGGTTGATTAAAATAGGCTTGGTTTATCAATCCCCCTCCAGACGGGCCACTCTCCAGCCACAAGCGAGATGATGTTAAATTTTGATGTTAAGTAACTTAAGGCCAAAGTTAATTGAAACAGGATAGGAATTGGTGATGATATTATTCTGTTTTCCCTGATTTCCAATGAAAAAGTAAAGAAAAATGAGAGAAAAAAAACAATTTTTGTTTTTAAAGAGGAAAAAAAAGAAGAAACGCATCTTGTTCTTTTATTGAAGTAAATTGATAGTAAACTATGATTAGGTGAAGCTGACTACAAAATAATAACCAATTTAAGCATGTTTTCCACCTTTTTTTCCTGTCCGGAATGGGAAATCTCAAAAAATAAAAATGCCATTTTTTTTAGAAAAAAAAACAAAAAAAAAATGTCAAAAATTGGTTTATAACGAAATTACGTTATACTCGTATTTTTTTTGAAATCCTGAGAATTTAAATTTTTCCTCCTTTCACAAAATTTTGATGAAGAGCATGCATAGAAAAAACTCAGAAAGTGTAATAAACCTTAAAAAGAGAGAAATTTATTTAAAAGGGATAAAAAGTAAAAGTAAAGTTAAATAAAAACAATAATCCTAATTAAATAAACCATAAAAAAGAGTAATATGCTTAGTAGATGACATTAAAGTTGAAATTTCCCATTAGGGACTAGAAAATCAAAGTATTGACTTACATGGGATTGATGGCGTCATTGAAAATTAAGATTTTAAGGATTTGAGCATTTTTTGAGATAGTTAAACAAGTGTCTTAAATTTAACTGCAACCGTGTTTATATGATTTGTTTTGAAAAAAATATGCATTTCTTCCGAAGTTTGTGAACAATTTTCAAAAAATCATTAAAAATCAACAAATTGGTTTAGAAAAAAAATGAATAGATGTTCTCTTTACCAACAATCCAAAGTTTATATGGTTAGAAAATTAAGAGATTATTGAAGTAAAACTATTGAAGTAACTATAAAAACAGGAGTGAAAAAGACAATATTTACATAAAATTGATTAGAAAAAAGGTGCAAAAAAAGGTATTATGCGTTCATTTTTTGGCGTTATGGCTGTAATTACTGAACCGATCGTTGGAATTTTAAAAATTTTACTTTATTGGAAAGACAATCATATTGTGAAAAAGGAAAAACATGCGTTTTGAAAAAATGACAATATTAAGCCCTTCAAAAAACATTTTGAAATTAGCGAAAAAGTCAAAAATTTCCGAAAATTTCTTTCGGAAGCTAAAAAAATGGGTTTTGGAATTTTTAGATTTTTTAAAAAAGATATATTTAGATAGAGTTGATTATTATACAAGTAAATAAAATGAGATCTCTTGAAAATGACATTATTTTCTTTTTTTCTTTCTCGAATTTTCAAAAATGAAAAACTGAAAATGTTCTATTATGAAATTATAAGAATTTTTATCTCCAAAACTAATTAAGTTAGAAAGATGCGGTTTTCACCGCTATATTGGAAATATTTAAAACTATTAAGATAGATATTTACATGGAAATCAGGGCACAAAAAGTATTTTTTAGATACTTTAAAACATTTGATTATCCGAAAACCGTTGGGTACTATAAGCCTAAAATGATAATACATAAAAACATTTCTCGCCCATAACTGAAAAAATAGGCCCCCCAAGGGGGAAAAAGACTCCCCTTAGTTGCCTGAATACTTTACATATCTTTATTGGGTAAAATCAGTATCTAAAAATGAAATTTAATACCAATTTGGAGAAAAACAAGCGGAGTGGCTTGGGAGCAAACGTTCCCGTTTGGCTGCTAGACAAGCAGTCCGGTAAAGGGACTATAACCCATGATCCGTCTACCACTGAGGATATTTCACGTCAGAATTGTGGTCGGTGCAAGCCGGATGCGGAATTCGTATCGACCAGTCATCGCTGGGATTCGAACCTGGTTCAATTCATTGGAATGCAAACGCGCTATCTCCTGAGCCATCACGGCTCTTTATAATGGTTATTATCACCGCTTCAAATATTCATTTGTGATCAATCATGTGGGGAAAAAAAACTACTTACAATACTGAATTATTTTAATTTTACCCTCCATTTTGGCGTATAAGGCATGCAACCTACTTCTCCATGGCCCCCGGTCTTTGGCTTGGAATATGGCTTTCTCTAATCCTTTAAATTTTGCTCTCCTGAAATCTGCCTGAATTTGTCTCTGACAAGTCATTCTTGGCCTTCTCCTCTTTCTTCCGCCATCAGGGGCCCAGGAGAGCGAAACACAAGTTACTTTTTTTTGACATTCTTAATGTATGCCATGTCCATTTCTACCTTTTCTTGTTTCTTCTCCTCTCGTAGTGAGACTATAAATATAAGATAAGGGACAAAAATATGAGCACCCCTAAGCCCCCTTTTTTCTCATTTATGTGTTGTAAAAAAATAAATAAAAAAAATTGAAAATTGATCAATCTATTCTCTTTGCAGGAGGTAGCAGGAAAATACATGAAAATTTAAAACATCAAATATAGTTGCTGTAGTGCTCATGATGGGAACCTATGTCCATATTTGGAGCACTTGTAACCAATATGGGTAGTCTTTAAAATTGTACAAGGAAATCCTTAACAATCGTCGCAAGATGGACATAGAAAAATATTTTTTTCTTTCATCTAAAGGCCATAATACTCTTCATGCACGCACTACACTGTTTCATATGTAACTGTTTAACCTGACGACACAGTACACTGTTGGAAATTTCTCGTTATTTTATTTGTTATTTTACCATATTCAAACAAAACAGCCAAATAACCATAAATAAGATGGCATTCAAACTGTTAACTTAGATAAAAACCGTTTGTTATTTGTTTTCACCTAATACGGTCAAATAACCAGAATTTTATAGCACCAAATAGGCTTAACTAATGAAGAAACTTAGTTCTTACGACTACTAAAGTTCAACTCTGTAGCTTTGTAGTTTTGAAAAAATCCAGAAGACAAGGAAACTCCTGGATCAGTACCCCCAGAGGTATGATTTGTTATGGGAACTTGGAGGACTTAGAGACAAAAATTTCTTCAGATTTAGCTATTAAGCAAATAAATTTTCTGCTTATAAAATAGATAGTAGTATTATCTTTACGTGTAAAACGAATTGAAACGTATTCACAATGCTTAGTATACTTTTCAGAATTGCCGATGAAAGTAGGACTTAAACTGAAAGAAAAAACTGCTGTTTCCAAGTTCCAAAGAGTAAAAAAATAAACAGGTTTGGGACTTAATAAAACGCCTTTTTGGCATTAAATAAGTTACAAAATTAAAGTATTCATCCCGTTTGTGTTCATCGTTTGTTCTGTGTTGTTTCAGATTTATACGTTTTACATTCGTAACACGTCCTTTTAAAAATAAAACTATTGTTCGAATCTTGAGCATAAACTCGATTTCGATGGTGACAAAATTCCCCCCCCCCTTTTCCCATCAGCTCATCTTGACACTCTGGAGTCTTGTTTCATTCATATGAATTCCCTCATCGTCTCTCGATAGCGTGTGGAAGTCTGTTTTGCCTCTCTCGGCTACCACGATTTTCCTAGTTCCGGTTTTCACTTTCATTTTCCATTCCTCGTTGACAACTTAACGTTTTCTATTTTAAATCGCTTTTGTTTCCATCATACAAAGGCAAAAAACATTTGTATACGTCGCAGAGCCAAATTCTCAGCATAATAGTTCATTACTACCCTAGTTTTCTATTTAAAAAATAGATGGCATTGAACTTCTTATGTTTAAAGCTAATTGAAACGTTTTCGCCAAGTTTATTATACCTTTTTGACCGTTCTTTATAAGAAAATTTTAACTCAAAGGAAGAAAACTGATATTTCCACGCTTCAAGGAGTAAATAAAGAAGTTTTTGGATACCTAATGAGATATTACTTTACATTATCGTATTAATACAATAATGTAAAGTAATGTCTGCAATATTGAATTAATTCCTACAATATCGCATTAATCACGTTCTCCACGTTATTTACACTTTTGTAGTCCCAGAAATTTGGATTTTACCCAAGATGGACGGTATCAAGTTCTTTTAAAAGGAAAAATGAAAGAGTTCTAGGAATAGTTCTGGATGTCTAAGAACCAAATTCTCAGCACAATTTTTCATTGCTGTACGCTCTAAAAACAAAAGAAAGGAAAGGGGGGGGAAGGGTTCTTTCGGCCTCCTTCGGTGGTATGAAGAAGACAGATTCGCAATTCGGAAAAATTTCCCTTTCAAATGATGACTTTCTTTTGCTACCTCACTCCCAAGCAATCATAGCTTGACACTGATATCAGAGAGGGAAAAAAATTCCCTGGCATCCAATCTCCGAAGGGTTTTTTTTCCCTTTTCCATAAGCAGTCGGAGATCAATTTTAATCTACTACAACCTCCCACTGATCGCAATTTTTCTCGCATTTGGAGATTTTGTTCCTATCTTTTTCGAACTATATGAAGAGATAAAAGAAGGGATAGAACGTTGTGGGAGTCTTTAGTTACTGATTACTCACCTAAACATTTTCAGTAGTAACTTTTTTCATATAATATTCAATAGAAAATGTTTGTAGCCATGATTTTAAGTACACTAGATATTTTCAAACGCTGTAGAAACGAATGCGTTTGAGAAATCAAACATTCGTAATACGTGTTTACAAAAATGGGCGCAGATATTTACGAAAATGAGCATAGCATTTGATTGCATTTTTTAAACTACTTTCATGAGTATTTTTCTTAAAGTATATGAGTATTTTTATACGATTTATTACAATATTTTTTGAGAATAAATTGATGAATTCAAATAAATTCGTAATATAATATCGGCCATATGCATAAATTACAGACTGTTTCAAATGACACTTGGACGAGCCAAGCTCACCAGCCATTGGTCTTTTGCGAATTAAGGCAAGAAGATGAGTCTTTCGTTTGACAAGAGAGCACCGCAAGGGTGAAAGTCTTAACTTTTTTAATGGATAGAGGGCAGTATCACTCATTCTTTCAGCTACTTTCTCGTTTTAGACATATAACTGAAGGGGAAGGAAATTTTCTCCAAATCCCTGCACCCATGTTACTATTCAGCGACCGACTACAGGACTTTCGACTCCACAGAATTTAGGTTGTTTTTGTTGTTGTTGGTTTACGTCGCACTAGATCTGCACAATGGGCTATTGGGAAACGTTCTGGGAAACATCCCTGAGGATGATCCGAAGAAATGCTATAGCAATTTTGATCCTCTGCTTCAGTAGCCCGACGACCAGCGCATGAAGTCAAGCACTTTACGGTAGAATAGTTTAACGAGGATCAATACCGCACACCCTCGGTCTCTTTTCAGGCTGATCAATGTGGTCACCCACCCGCTTACTGACCGCAACCAGTAATGCTTGACTTCGGAGTTCTATTGGGAACCGTGTCTTGACAATCAGTCCACTGCTGGACCAGTCTCTGCGGGACCAGTATGCTATATACACTACCCGAATATCGAATATACTCGGTGGGAATGCGATATACTCAAGCACCGACTTCAAAAGTCAACCGTTGTCTTAGGGTTGCCTCAGATGCCATAAAGTTTTAATAGTGGTTGTAAATTTACGTTTATCTCTAGTTACATCTTTAAAAAAACTTACTCCCTTAATATACCTAGCCACTCCAACCCCGAAGCCCGGGACTTTGGACCGTAATGGTTATGCTTAGCATTTAAACAAATAAGGAAAAGTAAGTGCGAAATGACCCATTTAGTTGTTTAATTTGGGTTGAAAACTGAAAAGGCGCATTTTTGCTGTGTCCATTTTCGTAAACACACTTTTTAAGCTTTGTTTTAAAATTTTCGTTTTATTATAATAGATAAAGAAATTTTTCTTAAGATTTCTATAAGTAATACTTAGTATTTATTTCTTAAATAAAAATTAATATCTGCTTTTTTAACATAATTATATAATAAAATATATTTTGAAATGAATTATTATTTGTTTCATAAAAACTATTATTTATTAAAAATTATTATTTGTTTAAAAAAACTATTATTTATTTAATACAAATCATCATTAGTCGTTCATGTATAAAATATTAACAAAAATTTGGGAGAAGGTCTGCAATTTTCTTCAGCTGTTACAATTTACTTCAAGGAATATTCAACATCTGACTTTCTGTTCGTCCATTTCATAAACAGAGACGCGCGCCTTCCCCCCCCCCTTTTTTTTAAATAACGAGAATTTTTATCATTTTGCTTGTTAGTTTCTCTTTACTGTAAACAACTTGTAGAGAAAATATATATACAGGGTGATTCTAAAAAGATGGGCAAAATTTTAGGAAGTGATAGTACACACCCAAGCAAACAATTTTTATCAAAGAATGCACGGTCGAAAACAAAACGCAAAACCGCTAGAGGGCGTCAAAGTTTATGTTCTTATATGCGGCAAAAACGCACAAAGAACGATGAAGTTAAGTTATAAAAGCAAATTTAATGACATGTAATTACAACAAGTGTTCAAAACAGTGGCCGGCGGCAGCTATGCACGCAGTACAACGGCGATGAAAAGATAGGCGAACATTCTGAAACACACTAGGCATATCACGAACTTTCCGTGCAGCTGTCGAAAGTTTGGTGACAAGCTCTTCTGCAGATTCAATGGGAGTCTCATACATAAGAGCCTTCAGCTGTCCCCACAAAAAGAAATCGAGACATGAAAGATCTGGCAAGCGCGGTGGCCAAGCTATAGGACCACCTCGCCCAATCCATTGCTTTGGAAAGGTAACGTCCATATAGTTTCGCACTTCTCATACGTAATGAGATCGTGCTGCGTCATCAAACAACTTTCCAAATGCACCAGCACCTTTGCATTTTGTTTTCGACCATGCATTCTTTGATAAAAATTGTTTGCATGGGCGTGTACTATCAGTTCCTAAAATTTTGCCCATCTTTTTAGAATCACCCTGTACATATATATAATTATATGACTCAGTACATGTCACGAAACCTTATGAGTCAGTACATGTCATGAAAAAGCAGCCCTCATCATTATGGAGGCCGTTTTGACAACTTAGGTCCATGGCTTCTTGAGGCTGCACCACACTCGAAATCTTCCATCAGTTCTAACCAGCTGCGATTGTCACTCATTTGACCGAGCTACAATTTTCCAGTCATCTAGGAACTAACCAATATGGACACGAGCCCAAGAAAAACGCTGGCCATAATATCGTGCTGTTAGTAAAGGCACT